ACCCCCCACACACACACTCACACAAACACATCCGTACACACACGTAAATACAAATCAAGAGCACTTTCTCTATTTTTCTCTGTCTCCCTTTCTCTCTCTGTCTCTCCCTCTCTCTCACTCTTTCTCTTGCTTTCTCTCTAACACAACTACCCCCCCCCTTCCTCACTCCCCATATACACATGCATACGCACTCACGCACACACACACTCACACACACACACACACACACACATATATACCCCCACACACTCGTAATATATACACACTCACACATGTGTACACAGTTTTTCACAGTTACATAATTAGATTTCCTCCTGGTACTCGTAACTGGCACAAGAACACAAGAAGGCACACGTTTAAGCACTTCCCAGTGAGAGAAGGAAGACTGTGAGGGAATCTTATCTCAGTGCGTCATCGCAAACGTCTTTTAAGCGGTGTGCTCACCCGTCCTGACTTTGCCCTAGTCAGTAGGTTGCACCATTTTTTGCTCCTCTTGGGTTACTAGTACAGTCGAACTTTTGGGTGATTAGCGGGTGCTCTGGTGGTGTGGTTTGCACCTTTTTTTCCTATAAAACATCTATCGTCTTTCTCATCTCTCCTCCTTCGTTTTGTGTTTGTTTCTCTCTTGTAAGACGTCTAGTCTTTTGCTCGCCGCATCTAACCTAATTGTGTTGCATGTGCAGTAAAACTCTTAATATTCGAATTTGCCTAAGACGACCACCAAATAATTGTCGAAGATAAAAGTGGGCTTCTTAGACAGTTCACGTCTAATACAGTATCATTGCCGCGAAAGAAAAACGTAGGAGTAGAAACAGAAAACGGATGTTTGTACACGCGAGTGTTTTATATCGGTGGCTGTTAACAGTTAGAGCAGGTTCAACTTCTATTTACTGCGAAATTTGACTCATAAAGCTACACTGGTGTAATACTCCTTGGATTCTGAACACGAATCCGCGCATTCCATGTCGAATTCATAGCCATTGTCGATGAATTTCGGTTTGTCTCTGGTACCCCAGAAGTAAGACTTAGGCATCGGGAATTCTGTCACATTATTACATTATTATTATTACTGAATGCACCCACCTTAAGGTTCTCTGCTTTATCTCGTTACCAAGGGCACCACAGGTAGATCGAGCGTTTTATCTCACGTCTTGTCGTTACTCGTTGTGAGTTTTTGTGACCT